CCTTTACCTGAAAGGGCAAGTGCATAATCTGGAAGTTCTGCTAGATTTATCATTGCCACAAAATAATAACTCAAAGTGCTTTTGTACAGCTTTGGTTGACCCACAAGCTGCAACCACTTTTGTAATGGGATATCTTAGTCACAGTACTGCATGCCCTGTTTAGATTAATGTGTTCTTAAAGGCAAAACAGAAGCTTCAGCTACTGCAAATTGCTGACACAACATGTGTGGCTTCACTCCTGCCAGGAACTGTTGACGTACCAACAGTCTTGCATACACCAACACTGAATATCAGTGGGATGGAGCTTCCCAGCCTAAGATGATTGTCCTTTGCTACTAATCTATTAGTAAAGTTATTTTTCACTCGCCTCTGCATTTGTGGCAAGCCCATGCCTCCTCTTCCTGTCTTGTTTAGATATTTCTGTTGTTTGTGCTATTGATAGCCCTCTATTTTTTCTTTGACTTCCAACCAACTTCCAGCAGGCATAAATGAATCTCTCTTCCACATGGCAGAGACCCTATATCCTTTCTTTTTTATTCCTCTGAATGTAGCCACATGCTTTAACTGTAAGTAAAGATGCACACACACCCCCCATTTTAAATGTGTCTAGAGTGATTTCTTATTACATGAAGTGCTAGTCACTGTGAAAGGGGATGTAGGGCTGAGATTTGGTATTCTGTCATGTTTTCCTATTGCTGTTCTTTTTTATCTCATACTCCGCCAACTATATAAGGAATAATTGTAATTCTTCAACAGGAACATCATATAGAAATCTCCTATATATATATATAAGCCTTGATTCCATCATTTTCTGCTGGACATGGCTTTCCTGTGCCCCACTACTGGCAGCAAGACTTCACATATAGGTACAGGAAAGCACCTTCTCCACTGTGGCTCCTGCTTACAGGATGTCCCTGGTGGACCACCTGGTGAGAATGTTGGTATGATACGGGTTCCAAATTAACCTGGTTGTTCATCCAGGTTCCTGAGACCAAATGAGATCATACATTAGTGTTCAACCTATTAGATGATCAGATTTTATTTGTTTGTTGAATTGCTTTGAAATTATTTAAATTTGTTTTAAAGTTATTTTATTTGTTATGTTTCTCCATGGGACATTTAGACACAGGATTGGCTAGAAATGTTGTAATAATAAAAAGAATTTGTGTGTTTAAGACTTTATATATTCCAAGGAAAGGAAAGAAAAATCACATACATTCTCCCTCTGTATAAACACAAACAGAGTTGCAATTTGACTTTACCTGCTTCTGCTTAATAAAGGCTGTCATTTTATATTTCTCATTCCTGTTCTTATTCTTAAACATAAACATAGCAGTGAATGCCTATATTGAACTAACCAGCCTCTTTCACATTTCATTGTACAAGACATCAACTAATCTCACTTCTTTCAGAAGGCTATGATTAAAAGAAACAAAACTGGACAGGAACACCCAGGAAGGAAGAATTGTAAAATGACAATTTGTCTAAAGGAATCAAAGTATGGGAAGCTAGAGTGCTTGGAGCCATTTTTCAAGACATCTGAATAATGCAGAGTGTGGATGGAAGACAAGTATGTATTTGTAATCATAAATATAGATATATGCCAAAGAGTCTGAAATTCCCTGCACTTGTACTCAGATAAACAAGAATTCATATATCACCTTCACACTTTGCATGAGACTAGATCAGGTGGTAATCATTTCCATATATATTAAGGGTACCTTTCCTTCACTTCACATAGCTAGCTTGTCTACTCTATCCCACCTCTGATGGCACCTGATGTTTGCCAGTGTATATGGCACTGAAATAGGTTGTACATATATAAAATCCAGTACAGACAAGCCAAGATCACATGACAAATCCCTGATTTTATTTGAGATGTGTTGGTAATCTGCACTGGATTGTATACACACAATCTAATAGAATGATGATGGAGACTGGGCAGTGATACTGAGTGCACAGGAAAGAAAAGGTTGTTGGAGAAACTAACAACCTTACATGCAGCCTGGTGCTGGGTTTCACTGGGAGGAGAGAGCTTTTGCAGGAACTAAGGTGACTGTCTTCTGCCACTAACTTATTGGCAAAGTCCTTTTTTCCAGGACTGAGGCAAGCTCCCACTCCAATTCTTGTTTGTTTCCAATTTTTGTTTCTTGCTTCTTCTCTGACCATCAACCAGAGCAGATATGCAAACTGGTTGTTCTGGGTTTTTTTGGGCTCTTTGGCAGCAACCTCTGAAGATGCCGGCCACAGAGACTGGCGAAAAGTTAGGAAGAACAACCTTCAGAACATGGCCAAAGAGCCCGAAAAACCCACAACAACCATTAGATCCCAGCCGTGAAAGCCTTTGCGAAGATATGTAAACTCTCTGCTTCCTGACATTTTCTCCCTCTTCCAGATGGTTGAGAGAGAGATCTCTCCTTTATCCCTTTATTCTTCCAATTGTAACAGAAGTTCAACTGTAACTAAAGTTGTTTCTTCGTTTTTTTTTCTACTTTACTTCTAGAATGATTTTATATGCAAAGGGCTAGTTTGTGATTCAAGAGGCTGGATGGAAGCTGGGGTTTTTAGCTATTCTCCTTCACATTTTCTCTGCCCTGCAGCTGTTCATATTTTTGTACTTTATGCTTCACTAACTAAAAAGGAATTTACCAACATTCTTCCAATAAAATTGTATCCTGGTCCAGTTCAGTTCATGTAGAAAGCACAGGCATAATGTAACTGCTGCTTAAAATAAAACAACACTTCAGCCCTAGATGTAGATGATCTAGGCGAGTGCATCCGCATTCTATCACAACAGTGCACCTATATATAGGTATATGTCACCACAATCCTGCACTTGTTCCATGTGTACACGTGCTTTTGCTTTTTGCCACACTGATCTGTTTATCAGTAGACCCTCGATTTTAGTCTGCAACCAGAAATTTACTACTTTTGTCATGATCTCAGTCTTCAGTCTTTCAGAAACATCCACTGTTGCTGAGAAACTGGTAATTAAGTTGCAAGAATGGGAATCCAGCTGCAGCGTGGCTTTTTGAAACAAGTCTCAAAATATTGGCAGTTTTCTGTAGAGCATCTTTTTAAAAAAAAAACCATGTTTTTAATGGAATTACATACTGAATGTATCCTATTTTATGACATTTTCATTTTATGTATTTCTTTCTTGATCCCATAGCAGGTAATAAAAGAAAGCCCCAATGGCTTTAAGGGATCACAGCAATTATGTATGTAAGGAATGGCTCTACAAACTGCATATCGCTTTGCAGTATTATGGAACACCACTACAATTGAAAACAAAGAGTAGATTAAGTATTTAGCAGAACTGTAGGGGGCATTTAAGAATTATATGTCACAAGTTCTATTCTGTCATTAAACGAACAAAACAAATAGACCAGATCCAAGGAAGTGAGAATATAATTTTCCCCCTTTTCCGCATGCCAGTGTAACATATAAGCCATTTGGCCTCTGATTTGATTTCTCGACTTGTACTATAGGTTTCTACACTTTACTTATACAGAACAAAACCATCTGGTCCACGGAGCTTGGAAAAGAACCTCTCAGCCAGTTTGACCACTGCCCATGCTGGCTGGAGAATTTAAGAGGAATGGTCCAAAATGTGAACTTACCCATGTTCTGCTCCAGTTTGAAAGACCTAAGTATAACCTGTTGGGCTCACCTAGCCCAAAATACCTTTCCCTTCTCCCCATTACACAGGTATACACGGATCCTCCAGGCCCACCAAAGGACCACTTGATGATGATGATGTGCCATTAAGCCCATTCCAGCAAACCTTTCCAGGGTTTTTTGATAGAGCATACTCAGAAGTGGTTCACATTCCCTTCTTCTGGGTGTATCCTGGGACTGTGGGAATTGAACTCCCAACCTCTGGCTACCCTATACCAGTAGTTCCCAACTTTGGATAACCCAGGTGATCTTCCAATGCAGTTCCCAGAAGTTTTCACCACCAGCTGTGCTAGCTTGGGTTTCTGGAAGGTGCAGCCTAAGAACATCTGGGTTACCCTAGTTGGGAACCACTGCCCTAAAACACTGAGCTAGCACGCTGACCTTAAACTGATTTATTTGAGTGGCCAGCTCTAAGCAGCATATACTGTACTACTGGGACAGAATCCTTGTGATCCAGTCAGGTGGAATTTCCCACCACAGTTCACTTTAATGATCAACCCAAAGCAACAAGATACACTTCGGAATATATGCACTCAGGATTCCAGCTAAGAACAAGTGTTGGGTTGTTTCTCAATAGAGAACTACCGGGAAGGGAAGTAATGGGATTGGCAAAGGCCATTATCAGAAGATCAACCGAAGCATCACATCCTTGAAGAGGAGAACATGCTTTGGTCCTGAAAAAGGGCTGATCTGTCTGCCACTTGAACAAGGTCCAAAATTCTTCTGAACCGAAGTGAGAAGCCTGATCACCTGTATTTGTTAATTCCACTACTGTACACATCTCTTCACAAACAACCTTGGAAGTAGTACTATGACCACCAGTCTCCCTAGAGCTTCGTGCCTGGAGTGAGGATTTTGGAGTTGGCTCTCTCAAGTCCTTAAGACCCAAGAGCTCTCTCGGAATTCCCTCCGCGTTCCCTCTGAACGGGTCTGACCACCCGAAGTCGGCAACTCATTGTGATTCCTCCTCCTCCGGAGCAGGCGTGTCTGAGGAAGAGGAGGAGGAGGAGGAGGGCGGCAAAGGGCAGGACGGGAGAGAGGAGGTGTACTAAAGCCGGGCCAGTGGAGCAGTGCGACAGAGGTTGGCGAGGTGCTACAACTCGTGGTGCACCGGTTTGCCTCACCTTTCCCGCCTTTAACCCCCATCCCTCCCCTCTCCTCCTCCTCCTCCTTCTGCCGAAGATTGCCTGGGGCCCCGCGAGGATGGCTGGGAATTCGATGCTGAAGGTCCCTCTGAGGTAAGGTCTCGACCTGCCCATGTCCAACCTCGCCCGCCGCGCCGTTTGCCGCGCTCTTTCCTCCGCTCTGCCCGGCTCCCTCGGGAACGCCGGACTCCGCGCGGCCACCCCGACGTGGAGCTGCCTGGAGTTTCGTGGCAATTGGCGGTGGTGGTGCCGCCGCCTCTTGTCATTTCCTTTCCTCAGCAGCGAGAGCTGTTCCCTGAGGGAAGCTCGCTTGCCTCCCGCTCCGCTCTCTCGCCCAGCAGCGGCGGCGGCGGCGGCGGCGAAGGTCGGGCGGCGGGTTGGGGTTTTATTGACTCCACTACATCCTCCCTGAAGTGCTCGTGCGCTTTGAATGCTTCAGCGTTTTTTTTTTGACGAAAAGACTCCGCTTTGCGCATGGAAGCGCTTGGGGACCGATGGTGAGGACAAGCTTGGGAAGGGACGGTAAGGTCTCCACGTTTTTATGGGACGGTCACAGAAGAAGAGCTCGCTCGGTGGGGGAGAGCGCGCCCCAATTTATGGCTACAGATAGTGGGAGCGAAATTCAAGGAAGGAAAGATCGGCCATCTTCTTACTTTAAAAGTAATGGTTGCCAACTCGAATGTGTGTTTTTTTCCCTTTTTCTCATTCGAGCAAATTAAGGAAATCGACGCCGAACTAGAATCACACCTAGCGAGCATTAAAAAAATTACTGTCACACGCCCTCCCANNNATCCCATTGCTTAGGCAGGAGGTACAGAGGAAGCGAATGGTGGGGGAAGCGTGGCTTTTTCAGAGGGTTTTTTTTTTCTTGGGTGGGGGTGGGTGGGAATGCGACTAATCCCAGGGCACGTGGAAATGGAGAAGCTCAAGCACAAGACGCGGGGCAACGAATGTGTATTGTATATCATATATGCGTGAGCTTCGTGTTCTAGGAGTGTGATATTACGTGGGGAGCACTCCAGGAAATGAATAATATTAGGCTTGGAAACTGCACTCCTGCCTTGTCTAAGACATCGGCTAGCACCAGCACTGCATAGCTTAGCAATACTGTCTTTTTTGTCCCTGATCTTATAGAAAAATTGTGGTGATTGAATTCCTCCCAGATCACTCATTTTAAGAATGCTTTTATAATAGGTTGGTATGTTGAAATGAAGTCAATGTAGATACCTATGCACTGTGAAAAGTAAGGAGGTGGGGGGACAGGGACACAGATGAAATATTATGAGACTTTCTTGTGGCTTTGTAAGTAAATCTATACGTTAATGACATTTCAGTAACGAAAAGTATGGTACCCTAGTTATATGTGTCATATTTTCATCATATATAAGAATTATCTGTTTGTTACTCTGGTCATTCTCATGTTCAAGAACTGTTTGCATTAAGTTTTTGTAGCAAACACATTCCCAAGTGTGAAGGGCACTGCAGTAGTGTGTTCGTGGGGACTAAAAGCAATGCATGTGCAAAATAAGGAAGGTTCAAATGTTTTGAAAATCAGCATTACTGAAGTTCCTTTCCATGATTATGTAAGGACTTTTGCCAAGAACTTGCAATTTTATAGCATTCTTATTTTTATATTTATTATGCATTTAAAATATTTATACCCCACCTCTCGCCTCAAAAGGACCTGGTATCTTAACATTTTTCTTTGAAATGCATTGTGAGGCAGGTGGAGAGGAAAACAGACACTTTTAAAACATTGCATTTCACATGCTGTAGAATATTCATTATCATTTACTTCACATGGTGGGTATGCATATTTTTTGAGTGGCCTACATCTACTTCTCTCTGACCTACATACACACAGTGCAAGCACAATGGCTGCAGAAAGGAACAGATTGGTGCCATAGCTATTTGGGCAATGAAATGGTTTCCTCTTTGCTCCTTTGGGTTAAAACAACCCATCAAATAAACATTAACAATTATGCTACCAGGTTAATGGTATCTTAGAGGAGCGAATGAAAATGAGCAACCAGACATCTTAAAGCCCTGTCATTCATACATTGTAAATCAGTGAAAAGAATGCAAATACAGCAGTCCTTTGCTGTCTGCACTTCACACAACATGTCTCATGTTAGAACAGCAGAGGGTGTAAATTACGCTCACTTTCCAGTGTGAGAACAAAACTGATAAGGATAAATAAGAAACATGGTTACCAATGTAGGCTTCATGATGGCTTCATTTTCCAAGGTGGATTTAGCTTTACATTTTGACCAAATCATATTTTTAAAATGTGTAATGTAGAGTGTAGTGTGTTCTCCAAACTTCATTGACATGTAACCAATGAAAACCTATTCCCATAACAGTTCATTGGGAAGAATTAAGACTAGCTTTATAGTAAAGCAGTGCCACATAGTAGACAAAAGCAAGGTACCTTGTATAAAGCTACAAGGTACCTCTAAATCTTACACAAGCTCAGTTTTAGGAGACAATGGTAATGCTGTTGCTGATCATATGCCTGGCAATAGAATGAAGACCCTTTTTTCTTACCTGTAGGAAATCTAATGAAACACATTTTTACCCTGCATTTTGTGGCTTTTATGCCACTGTGCAACTTCTTCAGTATTGTTTTGGCTTATGGCTTAAGTATATACACATGTGTGCACAGTAGAACCTAGTGTGTGAAGAGAGCTTAAGACACATTCTGCTTGCAGTTTAATGCTAGAACCTCTTCATTCAAACCCATTAAGACTGCAGTCTTTACAAATACAGGAATTTACTACTGAGTGTAACATATTTAGGATTGCACTGCAAGACCTGCTTCTTGGAATTAAGCTAGCTGCTATCGAAATGTATTCCATCTCCTCTTGGCCAGTCAAATTAGTATAAATCAGTTTAAGGTCAGTGTGCTAGTCCCTTTCAAGACACTGATGATTTAAGTAGTAGATTAAAATAACTGATAATGTAAATATGTTGTTGATCAGGCTCATGGAATTCTATATGATATTAGATGTGGCTTTAGAGAAATATTTGTTGTTGTTTAGTCGTTTAGTTGTGTCTGACTCTTCGTGACCCCATGGCAACCATCTCATCCTCTGTCGTCCCCTTCTCCTCTTGCCTTCACACTTTCCTAATATCAGGGTCTTTTCTGGGGAGTCTTCTCTTCTCATGAGATGGCCAAAGTATTGGAGCCTCAGCTTCAGGATCTGTCCTTCCAGTGAGCACTCGGGGTTGATTTCCTTCAGAATGGATAGCTTTGTTCTCCTTCAGTCCAGGGGACTCTCAAGAGTCTCCTCCAGCACCACAATTCAAAAGCATCAGTTCTTCGGAAGTCAGCTTTCTTTATGGTCCAGCTCTCACTTCCATACATCACTACAGGAAAAACCATAGCTTTGACTATTTGGACTTTTGTTGGCAAGGTAATGTCTCTGCTTTTTAAGATGCTGTCAAGATTTGTCATCGCTCTCCTCCCAAGAAGCAGATGTCTTTTAATTTCATGACTGCTGTCACCATCTGCAGTGATCATGGAGCCCAGGAAAGTAAAATCTGTCACTGCCTCCATATCTTCCCCTTCTATTTGCCAGGATATGATGGGACCAGTGGCCATGATCTTAGTTTTTTTGGATGTTGAGCTTCAAACCATTTTTGGCACTCTCTTATTTCACCCTCATTACAAGGTTCTTTAATTCCTCCTCATTTTCTGCCATCAGAGTGGTATCATCTGCATATCGGAGGTTGTTGATATTTCTTCCGGCAATCTTGATTCCGTCTTGAGATTCCTCCAGTCCAGCCTTTCGCATGGTGTATTCTGTATATAAGTTAAATAAGCAGGGGACAATATACAGCCTTGTTGTACTCCTTTCCCAATTTTGAACCAAACAGGGTTTCCATATCCAGTTCTAACTGTTGCTTCCTGTCCCACGTATAGGTTTCTCAGGAGATAGATAAGGTGGTCAGACACTCCCATTTCTTTATGGTTATGTTGGTGTGTACATTTCATCTAAATGTACACACCAACATAATCAGAATTTACTTGAGTCAAATATGCATTTTATGCATAATCTTTGAATTGCAGAGCTGGAAGGGACCTTCTAGAGCATCAAGTCCAGCCCATATTAAGGAGGCACAGTGGAGAATCGAACCAACTCTGGCTCCACAGCCAGATGCCTAAACCACTGAGCTGAACAGTAATTCTAGTTCACTTTTTTTTTTTGTTTCTTTTAAGAGTACGGTTAAGATGACAGTTCACAAAAACATATGCCAGATCAATCTTTTTAGCCTTTAAAGTTTCACAAGACTCTTGATGCACCATCCCTTTGATTCTGTAATCTTCTTGGAAGATATGTAATTGCAATGTAAGCCCTAAAAGTGAAAGTCTTACATAGTTGTTACAGATGCATCAGAAAGTTCTTGAAGGAATTCCTGCCACATTGAAGGGAAGTATTATATGGAGTCTGATCCACAAGTCAGTAAAGTTGTGATAGCTAGAGTTAAACAACTTGTGTCTGGATTTTAAAACTTGCTCCACCATCTCATAAATGCCTAGTATGAGGTTCAAAAATGGTTTCATCAGTACAATTTTGCAGAGTCTGATGTTATTATATAACTTCAATGGTATGGATGCTGTGGGGCAGTGGTTCCTAAACATTTTGTCATCATACTCCTTTTTTGATTTTTAAGAAATCCTCATGCCTCCCCACTTCTTCTTTACCATAATTCATCATCCTTTACTCCCCTAAAACTCCATAATTTAAACAAACACAATTATTTTTTTAAAAATCCCACCTTGTTTTTCTTGAAAAATCCTAAATTCTATTAATATTTGTCACAAAACCTTGCATTAAGTAATCTGAAAATCTTACAGTCTCCCTTGCAATTTCTTCATGAACCCCCTCCCCACAGGAGTACACCTCCGCATCTTGTTGGGGAACCAGTGATGTGGTATCATCGCTAGTAGAAATGTCTGCCTGCATATGGAGTATTGGGGAGCAATATCTGACAGACCCTGGTTGTTTTTTTAATTCTACACAGACCAGAATAAAAATAATAATTATGTGCCCTCAAGTTATTTGAGACTTATGGTGAACCTTTCCATGGGGCTTTTGAGAAGAGTATACCATTTTCCTCTTCTCTGGGCACTCTGTGACTGTGTGGGTTGCCCAGTGCTACACAGGCTGGTTCCTCTCTTGGGATGCAGAGTGCGGAATTGAATTGCCAACTTCTGACCAGATGACTAGCTGACTGAGCTATCCAGTCACCTGAATGAGACATTATAGTCCTCCAGAGTCAGTTTGTTGCAGAACCTGTATAGAATTAGATCTATAAAGTAGGCATTGTATCACATTGTTGTAGAGTTGAAAACAGTGTCAGCCACTTGCTAAGTTTTTACTTTTTTCCAGAACAAAAGACAACTGAGACAAAAATGCTCCAGCAAATTTATTATTGTATTTTCCCACTGCAATACTTTTTTGTCCCAATCAAAGCACAAAAACAAAGTCCCATGTCATTTTGCTAAGAAACGGAAG